CAGCAATAAATGTGGCACCACATTTGAGTTGCTTATTAATTTTAAACTACAGATTTAAATGAAAATAAAAACTCCATTCAGCAAAAAAATGGGCGGAAGGTCACTTTGTTTTTATATTTAGAGGAAAATCTACTAATGAAAAATTGCCGAATCGTTTTGCATTGAATAACAATAATAATTATAATTGTGAATTTCTGAGTTCATAAAAACATTGTCTGATTTTTTTTTTTTTTTTTTTTTTAGATAATCATATTAAAGCAATCCATATTTTAACCCATATGTGCAACACAATTTGAAGAAAATGTTGGTCCCTACACAGGTGAAATTGAATATTCTGTATGAAGAAAAACTATTAAATTTATAAACATATTTTTTTAGCAAATACCATAGACGTCGAAAGCAAACTGAAATTGGGGAAAAGGGGTGGCTAAACCAACAAAAAATGCAATGTACTTTTTTAATGGCCTCGAGCACTGTAGTGGTTGTAAACTATTTCATTGGAGTATTGACGTAAGGAGCTAATTCTAAGTTGCACGTTCAAATCCCAATGCGATATGTTGCGACTAGTCGTTCATATGAGACTGTAACAATTTAGGTCCAGTGTCGCAGTAGATACTGGCATAAAAAAAAGATACCTTACTGCTCGGTGGCAAAAAGTCCAAAGTACAAGCCCTTCTGACACTGGGCAAATGTTTACAATTCTCAAAAGAATTTAAAGCAAACAATCTTCAAGGGACAAATTAAAGAAAATTAATATACACATGGCGTCTCAGGACTTGTGCCTTGATTTCAATAATATTAAAAGAGTATGTTTATAATATATATATTTAATTCAACCACGCCATCATATCTTAAAATGATAAAAATGTCATAGTCATGGTCGTAGGGACCCTGGGGGGGGTCATGGGGGACCGTGCCCCCAGTAATTTTGCTTATAGAAAACATAGCTACTATATGCTCGTGCCCCCTCAATAATAACGTCTGATGACCTTTTTTTTTTTTTTTTTTTTTGCTTGCCAAGGAATTTTGGAAGTTGATACCCCCTCTAACTGAAAAATATAGTTTTGTCCCCTCAAGGTGAATTACTTCCTACGGGCCTGAAAGTATGATTATTAACCCATGAATAAAAGGCATAAAGAAAAGACGTCTGAATTCTATTCATTAGGATGAAATATGCAGACATGAATTTACAAGAGCTACTATGGCCCCATACAGTAAACATAAGAACATAGAAGAACTGTTTATTAGATCAAAACTCAAATTAGATAAAATTCAGTGAAATTGATTGATGTTCATAAGGTGGGACCCTTCTCTGCTCATGAGACGGGCCTTATCATGCTTGCTAGGGTGTGTAAATACCACCGAGACACTCTTAATTAGTCGTAGTATATTTTATTCACGAAATGTTTTGAGGGTGTAGGATTCTAATAAGCAAAATGCATAAGAGTTGTTTTATAAGATGAACTAATCTGTGACCACACGTTGTGTTTTATTTCCAACAAATGCTTGAACATTATAGCAGAACAAAATCGGTCGTTCAGATAAAAACGAATTTTGATGAAAAAATATTTTAAAAAGTTGATAAAAATTTTAAAAAATATATTTGAAAAAACTTGGTAAAAAAGTATTCAGTCGGCACAATTTAATTGCGTCGTTCGCATTAGGGAAAAGGGTTTTTTTTTTTTGGCCCGGAGGGGGGCTGGGTGCGCTAAGTCCCAATTTTCAATGCACATACATGTACTATATGTCTATCTTTACCAAAAAGTTGAGGGGGATTCACACAGCTTCCTACCCCCCTAACCCCGGTTCCAACACCTATGTATATGGATTTTTTTACAAATCGTATCACATAGAAAATAATTTTATACAGATTAACTCCACTAGGTACATGTAATAGGAGTTTGTTGCCCTCATCGATTAGCAGATCGGTACCACCGTTGGGTGAATGTGTTAACAACATACATGTCTTTGAAGTCAATGTGGTAAATGTCTGCTAATGTCACAACATTTCAGTGATAGAGGCTCTGCATCGAGGGAGGCCTCTGAACAGATCATTATAAACACCTGTAAGAACACTCTCATTGTCGACACAGCATGAGGCCACATTCCATTGATCGTGCTAGGTCTTCACACCAGCAGGATAGTGCAGCTGGCTGACGGTTTATAGGACAATCTATTAGAAGCATGCTTCGTGCCCCTTTGCTAATTTCTTAATTAACAGTTTGTGTGTTTGTACGCAATACTATTTTTCTCTTAAAGCTTTCTAAAATTGTATATTTAAATTGACAATATGTGATTTAAGTATAAAAAAATAAATGAATAGAAAGAAATAGGTATATTTATGAAGATATGCTATTATTTTTTTAATAGAGAAGAACAGTGGTGGATCATAGGGTCATTCATGTACAAAGGCATACAACTTGCACATGTTGAATCTCCTTGTCTTATTTTCAAGTGATAATAATTTGAGACTATTTTCATCCTTATGATCCCACTTTTCTGTTTAATTTATCTCGGGTGGAAAACAAATAGAGAAACGCAGTAAAATTTTCAGTATATATACCAAAAGCAAGCAAACATTACCAAATTTTGCTGAGAATATTTATGTCTAATATAAACAATTCTCGACTTCTAAAACTATAGAATAATTTGTCTATGTGATCATAATTATAGTATTAGAATAGCAATGCTAACCCATTTACAATATAATTCATTTTTGAGAGGTAAAGTTCACGCTATCTTACACACCCTTTCCACTCTCCCAGAATTTACACAAAAAAATCAAGTACCCAATAGTTGTTTTTCTTTCTAGACACTTTGCGAAGGAGGTAAAAACATAGATACACCTTACTTATATTATATAGTCTGCTTTTTTGGCAATATTTGATAAACTTATACTGAGACGGAAATTAAACGTTTTCAAATGACATGAACCATTAAACATACATGTACGCAACATGACACTTCCTGGTTCATATAATCTGTAAGGATTAAGTTGATAAGAGGATAAAAGGAATTAAGCGTATCTTTAAGCGAAAACAAAAATATTTTGGCAAATGATAAAATTAAATTTCAATATAGGAAAATAGCATAATTAGAACTCTTTCTATATCACATTTCTGGAAAAAAAAGGCCCATACACTTACACACAGAGAGAGAAAGAGAGAGAGGGAGAGAGAGAAGGAGAAATTATACGTCCAATTAACTGTTTAACATGTGTACGTGTAAAATTTAAAGTAGAAACAATTTTTATCTTTTCGATATTCAGTTTTACTTTATTTACTTCTTCGACTCCCTCCGGGAAAAAGGAATATGAGGTTCTATTAATACGTTATTTTCCTTTTAATGAGCAATCTGGCTTCTTTTAATTTGCGTCTAAGCTTTCTTTTAGTAGATTTTTCAACCTTTACAAACTGTGTTTTCACGTAGAAATTGCAGTATTAACATATTTCAGAAAAATAACATGATTTTGAGAGCTCTTCGCTTTCTTTCACTTCATATACTTTTAATATGAAAATTTTCATTTTTAGGCTGCTTGCATCCTCCCCATCAATTGCAGCAATGTCTATTTTTGGCAAATTCATACAAAAAAAAATTATATCTAAGTTAGTGAGAGAGACCTATCCGCATTCCCTTACAAATCGGATTATTAACATTTGACGGTCTATACCTTTTTTTTTTGCTTGTCAATTCTTTTGGTTCCCCCCCCCCCCATCCCCCCCCCCCACAATACCCATTTTTTTAATTCAAAGAAGTTGCTATTGGCCTGTTATACATGTAAGTGATGTATTTTTCTAGTTCTTTTTGATACAATAACAGGTTAAACTAGTGTTGGTTAACAATTCGCAAAGGATTGAACATGTTGAAGTAATCAATTTAATCTAACAATTCACTTTTAGCCCCAATGATCTAATCTGATTTCCTGTTTACACTAGAAGGAGAGTGTATAGAAAATCTTACAGATTGCAATTTTGCTGTAACAAGTATCACACTAAGAACAACGAGTTCTCCTGTTTCTTATTGGTCTTTATTTCATACGAATTTTAAATAAACAGTTAAGAGTGAGTAGAAGAAAAAAAATCTCGCTCTGTTCCTATATATCTGCACTCTCTTGATATTTAAAACAAACCAAAAAAAAAAAATAAAATAAATAAATAAAATAAATAAATAAAAATTTGCACTAATATTTCTTCGGATAAGACAGAATCTTTATAGTTTTAAAAAATTTGGCTTCCATATTATGTATATATATATATATATATATATATATATATATATATATATATATATATATATATATATATATATATATATATATATGGAATATTTCATATCAAATTTCACTTCTTTATGAGATGTATAAATTGTCTTACCGAGTGCAGTATAATTTATTGTACACAAATCATGCGCGCCAATAGATTTCGTAAATGGAAGAAACAAATTAAGATTCTCTTTGTAAGCATGATTTGAACTCTGCTATTCATAGTGGTTGCTGTCTTCTGAGAAAATTAGTGTTTTACTACTAGTAGCAGTTTATTCACAATATAACCGATACAGCCCATCAGTATATTCATGTAATACATGTAATAGCATATAACTATGATATATTTTACAATCATTTAGACTCTCAAAGAGTCTAAAATTGAGTGACCCACATCATATGCTTACACAATAAAAATGCATTAGGCCGTTTTTTGTATCGATCTACAGATGAAAGTAAATTAATATTAAAGTGTAGCTTTCAAATGTATGTTTTATTTCATATTTGAAAAAGCATTTTTTTTTAATGTGAATAATTCCTCCTGAGCTTATATTATGTAACTTGATATCTTAAACCAATGGGATATGGGGTGTGGCGTGTAACAACAGGGCCGCGCATGATACAGTCTACAGTAGGTACATAAGTATTTAGTTCTTCTTATCACCGACACACTCAAATAGGAAACAGAGACTGATACATGTAACAACGAAATTTCAAATCTTAAACTACTATCTGAATGATGACAGATTTTTGGGATATCGTGTATGATATAGAGGAAAGGGACTTGTGCCTTGTTTTAAAGGATGGCGAAAACTGGAAAAATGAAGGGAAAATAAAGGAGATAAAGACAACAAACGAAGTCGGTGTCGTTATGGTAAGACTTATAATTTCTTCATTTTTAATACTTTTTGTTTAGATGATAAGCATTATCACCATAATTATGAAATAAATTTATGGGGTACGTGTGCTGGAATGAATTTGAAATTCAGGGGTGAAATTTCAGAATGTCTTCTGTCTAATCAATAAGTAACGATTCTCATCAAAGATAAAACTTGGTAAGGATGTTGAAAGTGTACTTAAGAAATTGTTGGTTATTGAATTGCAGGTTGTGTTATCTACGGGTCATCGGAGGTGTAAATTAGACAGTTTAAATCAAAACAACCCAAAGTTCAGAGGGACATCAAAATCCAGAACCAAATTTTTGGAAGCTTGGAAGAAATTTGTTGCAGGTAAGCCTTTGATTTTTTTTATTCTCGGTTAAAAATAACTAAATAACAAAGTTTTTTACGATCTTGATTTATAGTCTCCCGATTAAATAAAAAAAATGCGGAGAAGGGGCAGGGAAATAAAAAATGAGATTTGAATGTAATTGGTTTTTACAACTTTTTTTTATCAAGAGTTTCCCGAAAGACAACAGAATCAAAGGACAGAAGAGAGCGAAGACACAACTTGTGATCAAAATGTAAATCAAGCAGAGTCATCTAGTGAAGGTAAATTTTGAAGCATGAAATATGTGGAGATAACGAACACTATTCGAGCTCAGAAGTCCATTAAACAGTACAAAAAATACATATCTCGCCCTTTCCAAGTTTTTCCTCTTACTTCCTTGTTTAAAAGAAAAGTACTTATTAAATTTACCTTTGGCATTAATTATGTATTTAATTTAAGGAAACCAAATTAATGAAATAAGTATGCGGATATACTAACATATCTATTACATAGAAAAAAATCTAGTAAACCAATTCTCTGATTCGGGATACGTATGTAAATACACGAGAAATTCTCCATACTTCATACGATATATTTCTTGTCATATCCAGGGTTCGAAATAAACTTTTGTAAGCACTAGTCAATTTTCACTAGTCCGTAAAGCATTTGACTAGTCCGCCTTCTGTCTTACGATAATGACAACATACCGATACCCCTACCTTGTGACTTTAAAACACCCCTCTCCTGCAACCCGAAGTAATTTTATGAGTTTAAATTAAATTTTGGAATACAGAATTAAATTATAATTAATCTAGAGCTACAGGAAAAACAAATTTTGCAAGGTATCAAAAAAAAAAAAATTATTTAAATCATAATAAAAAAAATATTGAAACATAACAGTGAAATACGTTTTAAAACACCCATCCCCCACCTCACCCCCGGAAATGTTTATATACGGAGTAACATAAAGTGTCAAAAACAATTAAAACAATGAATGCATATTTTTATAATTGTATCATTAAGAGAGAGAGAGAAAAAAAAGAATGGAGAAAAAGGTTGATTAACATTTTATTGTGCATTGCTGGTATTAGTTTCACCCTTGACCTAATTATGTCCGTAACATCACAGATTGACAACTATGAGCAGTGTGTTATTAAATAATTTTTTAAATAATGTTTTGTGCCATTATAAATCATCTGTGATCATTTACAAGCAAATGAATTTCAACACTAAATTTTTATTGCCTTAATTAAGATACGATATTTCCATGTTGATTTCTAACTCGAGAAAAAAAATATTTTATTGATTATAGTGATATTATCACTATAATCAATAATTTTTTTTAATTTATTTTTTTTTTTTTTTATTTTTTTTTTATTATTATTATTTTTTTACAATAATTTTGATATTTGTAATTTGTTTGACATTTGAAAGAATAATGTATCAAGATTTTTTCTTGAAAGGTTTTTTGGTTGTTTCTCTCTATGTTTCTCTTCTTTCCAAAAAAGTAGGAAAATCCATGATTTTTAAGTCCAGGGTAACATTAAATTCAATGTTAATGTGGTAAGCGGATACGTTGGAACAATTTCGATAGATCTATCTATATGTTTCTTCTCATGTGTATATTTTGTAAAAAATCCGATGATTAAAAATTTATTAGTTAAATAAAAAAAATTAAAAATTAAATTAAGTATTGAACTATCATTTATGAAAAGAAAAAAAAATCAGGAAATTAAGTGGGATTAACCCGGAGATCGATCCCGAACACAAAAGCAGTTCAGCGTCACTTGGCTATGCACACAATTAAGATTTGTATGCATAGCCCCATAAAATAACTAAATTATATAATCATTTTTTGATAAAAAGACCAAGTTAAAAAAGATTTCAATATATATAATATGATATCAAAAGAGCATAACCTATTCAAAATTTCTCTAATTACATATATTAGCTCAAACACATTTTAATTTTTTCAATGCTCACTTTATACATGTAGTTTTCGATAAATTTCAAGTAATATACGTGAATGTTATTTATTTTGTTTGAGATACTTATGACCATTTTTGCCAGATTTTTAATATATTTTTGTTCATAGGTAAATTTATTTGATGTCATAAAATATTGAAATATTATGAATATTTGTAAATACGAAACATTGAAGGCTGTAAAGTATACTAAGTGCCCTTAATATTTTTAAGGTTAACATGTATCCTCTTCAGAATTTTATAACAAACAAAGTTTTCTATAGAGCTTTTTTAAACGATTTACATAATACATGTATGTCATAGAGTTTTCCTTTTAAAACTAACTTAATATGTGAGGAAACAAGAAGAGTTCAATCTACATGTAGTTTAATAAACACAAATCTAAGTCCATAAATTAATCTCTTTGCTAAATAAATCCAGTGTCAACAATTTAAACTGTAGCTGGGACAAGAATTTATTTTAAGTACATTTTAGGATATATTCGCTGCTTTTTAAAATTATAAAGTTATAAAAAACAAAAATCTAAACATTAATAGTTAATGCAAGACGCATGTAGTTTTCATTCTGAATTAAGACAGAGAGGTTTAGTATGCGTTGAAAATAAACATCTGATCTATTACTTAGTATAAGTGATATGGATCTTCGACAAGTGTTTATATGACAAGCTTCCTTCCTGCGGTTTTTCTCAACATACATGAATGATGGATTTGAGAATTGTCACTTGGAATGGATATTGTAATAAAAATGATTTGGTGTCAGACAGTAAGGCTTGTTGGTCAAATCGTTCTATAGAAAATTAAAAAAAAATCTGATATCTCGATCTTGGAAACTTTCTTAACTATCAATTAGAGACCATGGGTATTGATGATAATATCCTAAATAATATCCCAAAACAAGCCAGAGCATTAAACCTTATGTCATTATTTATACATTACATAAGGTATACCAAAACAACAGAAATGGAGCTGGTCAAGTCAACATGTGTCGAAAATCCTTATTAAATAAACCAATGGATGGAATAAATTCAATGCATTCCATAATTCTCCCAACCTTTAGAATTTAAGTCTATACATATTCATAACTTACAGACGTTTGATTAATTCATTTTTACAAAAATATGTAAGTGAAAGATAGATAGTGAAATTCAATTTTATTTTAATAAAATGCAAAGATGTTAGCGCATTTGTTTATTTTTTGTTTTTTTTTAACATTTCATAATTATCCAAACTTCTCACATTTGATGTTTTATAGCTTTTTATGTAGCTTTTTTTTCAAAAGCACGGTATATATTTTTTTTTTACATCCAATTACATGCGGATGAAATTTCACTTGCGGAGGGAGTGCACAACCAAATATTTTAATTTTAATCCCCCAGTCACATTTCCAAAAACGACAAACGGACGAAGTCCTGCCCGATTTTACATCTTTTTCGTCGGCCAACCAGTTTTGTGTTCAGTAATATTTTTTCTGCGTCGCTTGCCGATTTCTTTAATTGAATCAGTTATTGAATAATGAAAAATAATTATAATGAATAATGATAATATGAATGAATTATATGTCAGAAGAAATAACGAACAACAGTTAAGCTTAGTTTTTTTCTATAATTATTGTGCAACTGATTTCTTATCAATCAACAAAGTATTTTTTTTTTAATGAAACTTAAAAGGTTTTTAATTTTGTTTCAGATTTTTCCAGTCATCTTACAACGAGCTCAAGTGACACTGAATTAGAACTAGAGAGAAAACTTATTGGTGAGTGTAAAAAAATGTGTATATATTTTACAAAGGTTAAAATGTTTTTCCCTTTTCCCTTTTGTTTTTTCACTTTATTGCAGTTTTTGTTTCTAAATGGAACACTGAGATCTAGTCAGATTTATGAAAATAATAATTAAAAAAAAAAATGAAGTGATCGAAGTTTTTTAAGAGTTCAATTGAGGTCAAAAGGTGGGAGATAAACCCTTAACTTTTCTTTACTTTTGGAGGTGTGGGGTAAATTGAGAACTTTCAGATTTAAACAGATGTATTCTTATCCCTATTCAAAATATTGAAATTTTTTTTCACATTATGTAATCTTATTTGTGAATTTACAAACCCAGACTTTAAATAAATAAATAAAAAGTCTCGAATTTTGAAAAAATCTAACAATATGATGTTGGCTAAAACTAAAATCTAAGTCCAGAATTTTTGTTTTATAAAAGTTTTTTTCAAAGTGCGATAAGTGTATCCATGGTTAAAAAAATGTTGATGAACACTCTAAACACAATTTGAAAAAAAAAATCTATTTGGACAAAGTTTTTCCCCCAAAATTTAACGCACTTTGCAATTTTTTTCTTAGTGCGTTGATTCCATCCCAATTTAACGCACTTTGAAAAAAAATCAAAGTGAGTAATTTTTTTTTTTTCAAAGTGCGACGCCAAAGAAGTGGATATATTTGACAGCTTAACAATTATTTATAGTTTATATATCGCATGCTCATTAGTATATGTGATCAGTCTTTTCATTAATATCAACTTTAAAGAATACTGCTGGAACATCTTTCTTTGACCTAGATAAATGAATTAGTAGAGCATAATCAAATTCTCAACATTAAATTGACTTCATGAAACATTAATTTCCTTTTTGGTTAAATTTTTATATATTTGATCTGACTTTATCCTGTGCAGAATATAGAGGTAGAAGTTTTTCATATTTAATAGAAATAAGTTTCTGTTTATTTATTTCTGAGCATTTATCAGCTTTGTACTTCTTTTACAGGTCGTTGCGTTGAGGTTCATGTTAAGAACCTTGTGGCTCCACATCCATCGAGATGCTTAAGGAACGTAGATAGAAAGCATGTTGATGCTTTGAAAGAGTCGTTCAAAATGAGACCAGAACACAATATTATTTTCTTTGGGATTGTTTTCAAAGAAAATATTGACCTGAAGGAATTGTACAAGAGTGGTTCACCTGAAATCGAAACTATTGGTGGCAATCATTCAAGAATAGCTCTTCAGGAGCTATTTGATGAAGGGTTATTGAAGACACCGAGAATATACATAAATCTGTATAAAAACCTGACTGACACTGAGGCCCTTAAACTTGGCTTCGACCACAATGTTTGTCACGAATTGGGGAAACCTACCTCAGCATCAGAAATGCTATTTCTCTTCAGAAGAGAACTTCTGAAGAAATTGACAGAAGAAGAACTGCCCACACCCAAGGCGTCCAAAATAAAAATGTGGAAGGAGACATGTGCATCGATACTAGGGATAAAAAAAACAAAACTGCATAATGTATACCATTGTATGTTAGCATTATGTATGTCTTCTAAGGAGGGTTGGAAACTCATTGAAGATTTTGTGTCTTCGTGGAAGTCCAATGAACTTAAAAAAAAACCGAAAGGGGAGATCAAGAAGACCCACTTCACCAAAATGAGTGGGGCAGCAGAGAAAGATAGAAATTCCTTGCTTGTCCAGTTGGTGGAGGGGAAAATTGATTGGGAGGAATTCAACAGGAGCTGCACCTCCAAAAAGTAAGCATAATCTTTTGTATGAAGACTTAATGGATGTGCATGTATGTGTTGATAAGTAAATACATTATAAGTTTTGATGTATGTTTTAATACACATTTAGGAAACAATCTGATTAAAAAAATTATTCAGTAATAGTACAAACTGGATAACTTAAAAGTAACCTGAACACAGTTGTAATGCCGTTTTGTAACAGTTTTGTATTTCTTTTTTATCTAAAATTAAACAAAACTGTTTACAAAATTGAATAAACGTGAAAGTCTTTATTTATTAACAAGGACTTGTGTGTTCAATTCATGACCAAGGGGGTACATAGATCAAGGTAGGGTCACACATCCCCTTTTCCAGAACAGCAAAGCCATGAATAGTGATATTGATATGGAATCATCCTAAGGTTATGTAAATTCAAATTTGTTCAAATCATGACCCCTGAGGGCTAGGGTGGGGCCACAATAGCCGATATATATATATATATATATATATATATATATATATATATATATATATATATATATATATATATATATATATATATATATATATGATTTTGTTTATTGAAGCATTCTCAGGTATTTTAAATTCAAGATTTTTCAAATCATGACCTTGAGGGGTAGGGAGGGGCAATCATTGGTGATCAGAGTTTTACACTAGAATGCATAGGACAAATCTTTAAATCTTAGAATAGCATATCCTTTATTAATCATAATATTTCAGAAGTATCCTCAGAAAAGGTATATTTGAATTTGATCAAATCATATCCCCATGGGGATAGGGCTGGGCCATAATGGAAGATCAAATATGTATTAAAAAAGTCTTCTAAAGCCATGATCAGTCAATGCAATATGAAAACATTCTCAGTTAGTGTAGATTCAAATGTGAATAAATTTGCCCACTCCCTTTTTTCCGCGGGGAGGGGTATTTGTAATCACCTTTATATTTAACCTTTCTTTTTTTTTAACTGATTTCTGCCTTTTCCTAGCCAATGTGCTCAGGTGAGCAAATGGCCAGTGGGGCTCGTGTTAAAAAAACCTATGACATATTTCTTTGAAAATTTAATTTTCCTTATATGAATTTCTAAGGTTAGATTACGACCCACTAAGTCATTGTCTGAGCTGAGAGGGTAAAGATCCTTTTAAATCTTTATTTTAAAAATCAAGAGGGTTAAGATGACTTAGATGAGCGATATGGCGTTGGGCCTCTTGTGAAAAGTTAATATTTTTTTCATAACTAACATTCAAAATCATGAACTTAAAACCTACTTAAGAATGACAACAACTAAATGCACAGGGAATTCCAGATATTACTTGTTCGTTATCAAGATAAGAGATAATTTAATCACTTTACTTTCAAATTTCTACAGAAAGACATCAAAGGCAACCACAAAGACGGTGGAAGGTGAAAAAGGAGAAACGCCAACGCCAAATGAAGGAACCTCTGACGATGTGTCAAATGAGAGTGAAATAAAGGTCGTGTCAGATGAGAGTAAAACAGAAGTTGAACATCCCAACGAAGAAAAAGATCTTGAAAGAAGAATAAAAGATTTACAACGGACTGAAGAAAGCTTGAGAAAAGAAATTACAGATCTTGAAAATGTCATTCAGCTTCAAGCAGCTGACATAAAGAAACTTGAAGTAAGATATTTTCTTGAGTAAAAATTTTTAAGCCCTTTTTGAAAGGAAAATCACTAAATCACAAATAACAATTCTCTTAGTCTTAATTAGAGAAGTGCATTTTAAATTTATAACAAAGTGAAGAATAACCCAAGTTTGCTTTTCCGTTACATTTACTTTATAAATGCGGGTTTTTAAATAATTAAGGTCTGACAAGTTTTAATCATGAAACTTACCTGCAATGTCATCAATCAAAACAATCGTCAAATATTTATAATAAATCAAATTTCATTTATCTGTACGTATTCAATTTATACAGATATGTGAAAGGAAAATCCATGATGCAGAAGATGAAAACAAAGAGCTTTTGAGAGAAAACAAAATGCAATCGGAAAAGATAAAAAGTCTCACTAACCAAATTTTGGATCTGAAGGTATACTTCTAAGATCTTTCTATTTTTTATGTAAGTGCAGATCAAAGTGCATATTTTATTGAACTTGTAAATGAAATGTGTCCAACATTTTTGCTAATTCACAAGAGACACTGTCGACTTCATTTTAGAATATCAGTAAAATTAAGCAGGAGTTGGAAGATCAAAACCGTCAACTCATTAAGGAAAATGAAGAGCTAAAAGAAAAAGTGGAACAATCAAATTCTGTTCAGGTAAATAATATTTTCTTTTCTTTAAGTAAATTTAGAGATTATGTATATATTTTTTAATTTTTATAATGTTTAATCATTTTTCTTCAAAAAGTCCAAACGGAAATGAGAAAAAAAAAAATGCCCAAGCTTTTTTTATGCAATGTGCCTTCATATTTGTTCAAATTGTTGCTCCTTGGAACAGTGTTTAAAAAAAAAAATAGAAAAAGTTCATTCGCAAAGACTTGTAGAAGGAAG